CAGGGACAGCCCTTGCCATGTGGCCTGGCCTATTTAATTTTTGTGCTGAATCTGCATCCCTGGATGGTGGTTCTGTTTTCACCCATCCTAATTCCAGGATGACCTCATCTTCAGATCCCTAACTAATGACTTCATTTCAAGTTCTTGGCTTTAAATATATGGACATATCTTTCTGGGGGCTACCATTCAATCTACTACAATGGTATCCAGTTTCTTCTGGAGGCTCTAGGGAAAGATCCTTTCTGCCTCCTCCCACTCCTAGTGGCTCCAGACACTGGAGGTCTTATTTGGCTGGTGGTCTTATTTCTCCATTTCCACATGGCCTTTTCTTCTGTGCTTGTGTCTCCTCTTCTCTTAGAGGGACAGCCTAACTGAATTTGGGATTCATCCTAATCCAGAATGATCACCTCTTAACTAATTAAATCTCCAGAGGGCCCGTTTCCAAATAAGGTCCCATTCTGAGGTTTCAAGTGAACATGAATTCTGAGGGGTCACTGTTCAAGACACCATGACACAAGTCTTGTTTTTTAAATTCATTTATTTTTCTTTTTTATATTTTGACATTTCATCAGAGCAAAAATTTCCCAACAAATGGCATTTGTGGTGTGTGCTTCCCTGGGTAGCTGGGGACTTACCATTGATGCACATGGATTATCGAAGTAAAAGTGGGTCAGCCGAGTTCCCTGTATCCTTTTGTGAGAACCTACAGTGTGCAAATGCCAAGGCATTTCTGTTTGTCCTGGCTCATGGCTCATGAAACTCTTGATCTTGCTAAGAAATGACTTCCATACCACTATCTCTTGATATCTTTCAGGGTGTGACTATAGTTTGAGGCTTCATGAACAGTGAGAACATCAACCAAACAGAGCTAGATTTGACTTTTTGCACTTTCATGATATGGGAGGTCTGTGTTGGCTTGCAGTATATTCTACAGCTGTCCCGTCATCTGAGAATCAAAAGAACTGTGATGGTCTCACAGGACTACCAGGTTCATATGCCTGCTTGCACAGTAACATACCAATACACTGAGATAGCAGGGTTTACAGCAGAGAAAGAATTTAATAATTTCAGGACAATCGGTGCAAACATGAGAGGAGACCTCAAATCCATCTTTTTTATTTTTATTTTTTTGAGGCAGAGTGTCACTCTGTTGCCCAGGCTGGAGTGCAGTGGTGCAGTCTCAGCTCACTGCAACTTCTGCCTCCTGGGTTCAGCAATTCTCCCACCTCAGCCCCCCTGGTAGTTGGGATTAAAGGAGCCCACCATCATGCCTGGCTACTTTTTATACTTTTAGTAGAGACAAGATTTCACCATGTTGGCCGGGCTGCTCTCGAACTCCTAACCTCGGGTGATCTGCCTGCTTCAGCCTCCCAAAGTTCTGTGATTACAATGTGTGTGCCATTGTGCCTGGTCTCAAATCTATCTTTCCAAAGAGTTCTGGGCTGGGTTTTTTAGGAAAATCATGGAGGGTCTTGGGGTCACTGATAGGTTGGGGTAAGAGGGAATGAAATAATCAGAATATAGAAATGGCATGCTTTGTTAAGTCAGCTTGTCATAGGGTCCTTGAGAGCAGCTGACATCAGTAGTTTTTCTGGTATGTAGGACCTGAGAGGTTACCGCAAATAGAAAACTTAACATTTCATAATGTTTTGTTATCATCCCGTAACAGGGTCTATGTGATTCTAGGACAAACAGTTACCAAACTAATAGGAAGACATAGAGAGCAAATTGACCTCAGGATCAAAGATGAGTATACTGCAAGCTTAGTTCATTTTGTTTCTCCCCATCCCTTCCTCTCTGATTGACTTTATGAAGTTTATAGAAACCGTTTCAGTAGCATCACCAAAGGGGTTGGGGAGCAGTTGAGGTGCTGGAGGATCTTGGAATCCATTTCATGCAGGATGGAGCCCTTGGGTGGACCCACTCTATCTTCTGCAGCATGGAGAAGAAGGAAAGACGTCACGTCTGTGAGAAGCCAAAACACATTGTTTTTCACATTCATAGATGTTGAAAATTCACAAGTAGTGTCATTGATGTCTTCTCAGGCACCGTGAGGAACCTTTCCTCCTCTTCTTCTCCTTTCTTCACGTGCACGTACCTCTCCCCACCACAGACGATTTCATTGGCACCAGCAAGCATGGCTTATATGGGGACAATGTGGAAGAGATGGACTCCATGGTGGGTAAGTCGGAGGACCTAAGTGGACAGAAACTAACGTGTTCTGATAGTACAGGACACTGAAAACTGCTCTTGGTCAACCTGTGAAGTGAAGAGAATTATAACCATGGGACACGGTTTGTCTGAGACGTAAATGAGCTAATAGTTGCAAGCAATTGAGAAAGTCAGAAAAATACCATATGCAGTTCCTCTCCTTTCTTTGCATGCCATCCGCTTAGTAACTGGGGTCTTTGTCTACTTGACTGCATCTCCAGTGCGGGCCAGACCACAAATTAGACCTTCTTTTTCAAATTTTCAACTCTTATTTTAGATTCAGGGGCTACATGTGCAGATTTGTTACCCGGGTGTATTGTGTGATGCTGAGGTTTAGGATATGATCAAACCCTTCACCCAGACACTAAACATAGCACCCAATAGTTAGTTTTTCAACCCTTGCCCCTACTGGTAGTCCACAGTATCGATTGTTTTTGATGCTACGCTCCCACTTACTTTGTTTTGTTTTTAAAAATAAATTTTATTGTGTATGTTTGAATATATTTTAGAGACAGAGTCTTGAGAAAATGAACTATTATTAATGCCAAAAGTTGTTCATTATGGCATTTTAAATTATGGCAAAGTATGAAAATTAACCAAAATAGTGAACAACAGTACATTGGTTAAACACTTATCATCACTTGATTAAGTGGTATCTTCCCGTTTTCTCCACTGTAAAGTTACTTATTTTCTCATTACTTATTAATTTGAAATTATTAACAATTTTATGGGAAATACTTTGAGAGGAAGCCAATATCTTGGTTTTTATCAAACTTTCAGTGCCAGGTTTAACATCCATTGATCATTTTCTCTTGGCTCAATTTCAGTGTGAGTTTTGCTAAAAGTATTGTGGTAATTTTTTTGAAGTATTTAAAAATATAAATTATTTCTTAGTCTTGTCCTTACCTGTGTGTCTTGGCTCTAGAAAATCTCTAAGATGCAGTACTTTAGGAATGTTAATGTAATGTTATCTGAGATAACCAACAGTAGAACACACAGAATTGGACACATTTGCGACTAATGAGTTTTTCCATAATTATGCACAATACAGACTGGGTTTGGGAACTGTAGGTTTAAATCAGGCAAGTGCCAATGCCAAGCTGGAAGCAAACTCACTGTTTCTGTACCGCACTTCTGGTTCCTGTCCGTCACTTTACTTTTTTTGTTTATGGATTTGTTCTGACCACGAGGCACCCCTGGAGTCTCTCTAAATCTGCTGTGATTCTGGAGGCTGCCCAATTTAATCATTTCTCTTCTTTGCTCAATGAAACTCCATCAATTTTCATTTGTCTCAAGCAAGTTTCCTTTTTTTTATTATTATTTTTTTATTTATTATTTATTTTGTTATTGCATTTTAGGTTTTGGGGTACATGTGCAGAACGTGCAAGACAGTTGCATAGGTACACACATGGCAGTGTGTTTTGCTGCCTTTCTCCCCTTCACACAGTTGTCATTTTTCCCCAGGCTATCCCTCCCCACCTCCCCCTCCCCACTGGCCCTCCCCTTTTCCCCCCAATAGACCCCAGTGTTCAGTACTCCCCTCCCTGTGTCCATGTGCTCTCATTTTTCATCACCCACCTATGAGTGAGAATATGCGGTATTTCATTTTCTGTTCTTGTGTCAGTTTGCTGAGAATGATGTTCTCCAGATTCATCCATGTCCCTACAAACAACACAAACTCATCATTTCTGATTGCTGCATAATATTCCATGGTGTATATGTGCCACAGTTTCCCAATCCAGTCTATCATCAATGGGCATTTGGGTTGATTCCAGGTCTTTGCTATTGTAACATTCGTGTACATGTGTCCTTATAGTAGAATGACTTATAGTCCTTTGGATATATACCCAGTAATGGGATTGCTGGGTCACATGGAATTTCTATTTCTAAGGCCTTGAGGAATCGCCACACTGTCTTCCACACTGGTTGAACTAATTTACACTCCCACCAACAGTGTGAAAGTGTTCCTATTTCTCCACATCCTCTCCAGCATCTGTTGTCTCCAGATTTTTTAATGATCACCGTTCTAACTGGCATGAGATGGTATCTCAATGTGGTTTTGATTTGCATCTCTCTGATGACCCGTGATGATGAGCATTTTTTCATATGTTTGTTGGCCTCATATATGTCTTCTTTTGTAAAGAGTCTGTTTATATCCTTTGCCCAATTTTGAATGAGCTTGTTTGTTTTTTTCCTGTAAATCTGTTTGAGTTCTTTGTAAATTCTGGATATCAGCCCTTTGTCAGATGGGTAAACTGCAAAGATTTTTTCCCATTCTGTTGGTTGCCAATTCACTCTAGTGACTGTTTCTTTTGCCGTACAGAAGCTGTGGAGTTTGATTAGGTTCCATTTGTCTATTTTGGCTTTTGTTGCCAATGCTTTTGGTGTTTTGATCATGAAGTCCTTGCCTACTCCTATGTCCTGGATGGTTTTGCCTAGATTTTCTTCTAGGGTTTTGATGGTGCCAGGTTTTATGTTTAAGTCTTTAATCCATCTGGAGTTAATTTTAGTGTAAGGTGTCAAGAAGGGTCCAGTTTCTGCTTTCTGCACATGGCTAGCCAGTTTTCCCAACACCATTTATTAAACAGGGAGTCCTTTCCCCATTGCTTGTTTTTGTCAGGTTTATCAAAGATTGTATGGTTGTAGATATGTTGTGTTGCCTCCGATGCCTCTGTTTTGTTCCATTGGTCTATTTCTCTGTTTTGGTACCAGTACCATGCTGTTTTGATTACTGTAGCCTTGTAGTATAGTTTGAAATCTGGTAGTGTGATGCCCGCCGCTCTGTGTTCTTCTTGCTTAGAATTGACTTGGCTATGCGGGCTCTCTTTTGGTTCCATATGAAGTTCATGGTGGTTTTTTCCAGTTCTGTGAAGAAAGTCAATGGTATCTTGATGGGGATAGCGTTGATTCTGTAAATTACTTTGGGCAGTATAGCCATTTTCACGATATTAATTCTTCCTAACCAAAATGTTTAAGAATTTCCACAGGGTGCCAGCAGAGCAGAAGGAAAAACAACAACAATAACAACTGTTTCCTCTCTCCTTCTCAATTCTCCAGCTACCGCCCTGGAAATTAAACTGACAAAAGAACAAAAGAAAAACAGAGTTTATTCAGACATGCCGTGCACATCCACATGGGGTGAAACTCAGTGACGAGTAACTCAAAAATGTGGTTAGAGCTTGGAGGGCATAGAACAAATCACCCAAGAATACCTTTGTCAAGAAAGAAAAAGGCCTTTTAAGCTTCTAGCAGCTGCAAATTTTGGGAAGATAAATACAGGAGGGAAATGAATGGGAAATTGAGTAAGCTTTCTTACATGTAGATTTCTCTAGGCCTATGTCTCTGGTAATTAACAGTCTAAGCTTACTTTTAGGCAAATAGAAGAGTGCAGAGAGTTTTGGGATTTTTTTTTTCCACTCCCTTACCTGACTTGCTTATATCGTGTTGAGTAAAAAAAGCATGAGATCATGTCCTTTGCAAGAACACAGATAGAGCTGGAGGCCATTATCCTCAGCAAACTAGCGCAAGAACAGAAAACCAAATACTGCATGTTCTCACTTATATGTGGGAGCTGAATGATAAGAACGCATGGACTCGAAGAGGGGAACAACACACACCGGGGCCATTGGGAAGGTGGAGGGTGGGAGGAGGGAGAGCATCAGGGAAAACAGCTAATGGGTATGTGAATCCAGAACATCTGAGACAGGTCTCAGTGAACTTAGAAAGTTTTGCAAAGGTTGAGGATGTGCCCGTGACACAGCTTCAGGAAGTCTTGACCACATGTTCCCAAGGTGGTTGCAGCACAGCTTCGTCTTATGCATTTAGGGAGACATGAGACATCAATCAATATATGTAAGAAGTACATTGGTTTGGTCTAGAAAGGCTGGGAGACTCAAGCAAAAGCAGGAAGATTCGAAGCCGGGAGAGGGTTTCCAGGTCCCAGAGGAACAGTTGCATTCTAATGAGTTTCCGATGAGCCTTTCCAAAGGAGGCAATCACATATGCATCTATCTCAGTGAGCAGAGGGGTGACTTTGAATAGAATGAGAGGCAGGTTGGCCCTAAGCAGTTCCCAGGGCCCCCAGTATATATTACCTTTTCATAGTTTCTAAACATAACAACTGGGTGATGAAATAATCTGTATAAAAAACCCCTACGAGAGTTTTCTTTTAGCAGATCTTGTTTCTCAATTGTCTTCAGCTCAAAATAACCCTTATGTCAAAGTGATATCTTTTGGGGTGACCTATTCTGCTCTCCTACAGCAGCCTTAAGCAAAGTTTGGAGCTGTCTTGCAGAAGACCACCAGGATGACCAAAGAGTGTAATAGAAAGGAGAGTTGCATTGGTGAAGTTGGGTTGCAGACTGTGAAGTTAGAGTCCCTGGCATAAACAGAAGGTGCTCTCTCTCTCGCTGAAGAGGGAAGAGAGGCTGGGGCCTCATGCCTCATAGGGATCATATTACACAATGGAGTCATGCATATCCAGCAGGTTTGGGGGGAACTATACATATTTATGAGGGGAGCTGACTGCATGCCTGATGGGTAAACATATACATAACATATGTCCCATGTCCACTTTAGGGCTATGTTTTTGCGTTAAAATGAGGTAGGGTATGGTGGCTCATGCCTGTGTAATCCTAGCACTTTGGGAGGCCAAGGCAGGTGGATCACTTGAGCTCAGGTGTTTGAGACCAGACTGGGCAACAGGGTGAAACCTCGTCTGTACAACAAATAAAAATAAAAGAATTAGCTGGGCATGGTGGCACGCGCCCGTGGTAACAACATTTGGGAGGCTGAGGTAGGTGAATCGGTTGAGCCCGGGAGGTAGAGGCTGCAATAAGCTGTGACTCCACCATTGCACTCCAGCCTGGGTGACAAAGTGGAACTGCATATCCAAAAAGAAAAAAGAAATTTGGCTCCGTGTGTGAAGACAGTTTGTGTGAAGCCTCTATGCGGTGCTGAACCTGAAGTAAGGGCTGCAGTTACTTATCAGGAAAGAACGTGTGTAAGGCTGGTCCCCTGTGGGAATAGTGGTCTGGGTTGTCAAGCGTTACAAGGTGTCTGGCACAGTAGATTATGCTTGTAATCCCAGCACTTTGGGAGCCTGAGGCGGGCAAATTGCTTGAATTAAGGAGTTTGAGAACAGCCTGGGCAACATGGTGAAACTCCATCTCTACAAAAAATACACACAAAAAAATTAGTTGAGCATGTGACATGAACCTGTGGTCCCAGGTACTCAGGAGGCTGACCCGGAAGGATCACTTGAGTTCAGGAGGTTGAGGCTGCAGTGAGCCATGATCACACCACTGCACTCCAGCTTGGGCTGTAGAGCGAGACCCTGTTTAAAACAAGAGAGTTAGAAGGGTCTGATAATTTGCCTGGTAGCTCCACTTCTTAGGGAGTTTAGCAGAAGTGAGGTTTCTCTTACAGCCATAGGAATTGAGGAAGTTAGCACGCAAGTCTCTCTGTGAACTCTTAGCCGTAGCTAACTTTTCTTTCCGTAACCTCCAGGCCTGTTTTAGTTGCTAAAGGGGCATATATTTTGGTCTCTCTGATGACAGGGCCTTGTGCAACAGTGGAGCTCCTGCATCATGAAGGTCACCCTGAACATGGATAATATCACCCCAGACCACAGCTGCGGGCTTCACGGTAACTTGGGGCAAATGTCACTGTTTTCCAAAACACGGCTGAAGTTTCAGGTCTGACTACACAGGCACAGCCCTGTTCTTCGACTGGTCATGTTTAAGGTAAGAGCTTTACTTAAGCTGAGCACCAAAAGATGGTTGAATTAAGCTTAGCCTAAAGCTGCCTCCTGACATATTTTAAGGTTTGCCTAGAAGTTTCTAACCTAACTGGATGTGTAAGCAGGAACCTCCTCTTGTACCAATCACAAAGCTTTGTCCGAAGGAAGTCAACTGTCCAAACCATGCTCAGACAAGGCCAGTGGTGAGCTACAATGAATATGGCTCTTTCTGTCACTTTCCTTTTCTCGTCCATAAACCTCCTCTCACCATAAGACAGTGCCGGCATCTCTCTGAACCTGCTCTGGTTCAGTGGGTTATCCAATTTGTGAATCCTTCTTTACTCAATTAAACTCTGTTAAATTTATTTTACTTATTTATCTTTATTATTTATTTCTTTTAGAGACAGTTTCTCACTTTATCACCCAAACTGGAGGGCAGTGGCACCATCATAGCTCACTGCAGCCTTAACCTCCTGGGCTCAAGCGATCCACCCACCTCAGCCTCCCAAATAGCTAAGACTATAGGTGTACCTCACCTGCCTCAGCCTGCAGAGTAACTGGGGCCATAGGTCATAGGTGTGAGCCTCTCTCTCTTTTTTTTTTTTTTTTTGCTTTAGCTATTAGAAGAATGTTGGTGCCACTGGCAGAAATCTGATGGAGGAAGCTATGTGTTGTAAGCCGTGCGTTGGAGATGCCACTGAGCTATCTCAGGGGAAATGCCGGAGAGACAGTGGAAGGTGAAGGCTGGATGACAGGAGACTGTTGGTCTGGAGGTGAGACAGCGGCACTCGGGGATCCTGGCTTCAGCTGCACTGGGTGGTTTCCAGGCTTCAGCTATGCTGGATGGTTTTCTTTAGCATGTAAATTTATGTCTCATACTAGTTCAAGGCACGTCTGGCCCCACACATTTCTTTTGTCGTCATTGCTTTTTGTTTTACTCCTCTGATGCTACAAAAGCTCCAGTATATACTTCTTTGAAGAACAAAGTCAGTCACCCTGGCTCATGCCTGTGGGCCCAGCACTCAGAAGGCCGAGGCAGATGGCTTGAGCCTGGGAGGTCGAGGCTACAGTGAGCTATGGATACACCACCATACTCTAGCCTGGGGGACAGAGTGGGACCCTATCTCAAAAGAAAGGAAAAAAAAAAAATAAGCAAGATAGTGCATTTAAACGAAAGAGCGTTCTCTTAAAATGGAATAGGAAACACTTTCATTGAGTGGGCATGTGGCTCATGGCTGTAATCTCAGCACTTCGGGAAGCCGAGGTGAGAGGCTCACCTGAGTTGGAGACCAGCCTGGGCAATGTGGAACCAAAAACACCTGGGCGTGACCGTAACCAGGTTGCAGAAACCTATTCAGAAGCTTGTGCTGAAATCCACTATTCCATACCTTGCTATAAATAGCCGACTCTAAAGCCCTTTAATTAAAACTTACTTCAGCAGCACTTCCACATACTTCTTTCTGTTTTGTTTCTTGCTCTTTCATCCAGGCTGGATTACAGTGGCGTGATCATGGCGCACTGCAGTCTCATCCTCAGGCTGAATTGATCCTCCCACATCAGCCCCCTGAGTAGCTGGGATGGCAGGCATACATCCTCATACCTGCCTAGCTTTTGCATTTTTTTGTAGAATGTGGTTTTGCCATGTTGCCCAGGCTGGTCTTGAACTCCTGGCCTTGAGCAGTCCTCCTGCCTTGGCCTCCCAAAGTGCTAGCATTACAGACATGAGCCACTGTGCCCAGTCACATACTTCTTAACCCATAAACATTTAAGCTAACCCCCAGATCAGAGAGACAGATTTCAGCCCTGCCTCCTGTCCCCTTGCCAGTTGACCTCACAATAAAGTGCTAAAAAGAAAAAAAAAAACATACTGTACGGCACGGCATGGTGGCTCCCAGCTGTAATCCAAGTGCTTTGGAGGCTAAGGCGGGCAGATTGCTTGCACTCAGGAGTTGGAGACCAACATGGAAACAGCAAAACCCTGTCTTTACCAAAAAATCTAAAGATTAACCAGCATGGTGTGTGTGCCTGTGGTCGCGCAGCTACTCCGGAGGCTAAGACAGGAGGATTACTTGAGTCTGTGGCAAAAGCTGTGGTGAGCCAAGATGATGCCACTGCACTCCAGCCCGGGTGACAGAGTGAGACCCTGTCTTGACAACAACAAAAACCAAAACCCCCAAAGCAGTGTCCTAGCATTGGCTTATATGCATGTCTACGGGCAAGTCCATTGCTCAGCAGCAGAATGGGCAAAGCAACCCTGAAGAGTGGTAAGAAACCCTGTGTGGCTGGGAGACACAGAATGAGGTAAATGGTGGCAGACGCTGAAGGTGGAGAGGTAGC